GTCAGTTGGGAAGGTTAATTTAAAATGAAATACAAAGTAAATAAACCCATTGTGGTCGGCGGTGAAGACAATTCTGACTCATGGTGACCCTACGGGACAGAGGAGAACTGCCCCATAGGGTTTCCAAGGGTGTCAATCTTTACAGAAGCACACTGCCACTTCTTTCTCCCATAGAGTGGCTGATGGTTCCAAACTGCCAACCTTTTGGTTAGCAGCCGGGTGTACCACCAAGGTTCCTTATAAAGGAGGTTCTGTTTAGTACCACCAAAAAAAAAAAAATCATTGCCATCAAAGTCAATTCTGACTCACACTGACCCTATAAGAGTAGAATAGCCCAATAGGGTTTCTAAGGGTGTAAATCTTTATGGAAGCAGACTGTCATATCTTTCTCCTACGGAGCACCATGTAAGTGTCAAAAATCACAAAAGTGGCAGAAGTGTTGGAAACACTGGCCTAGATTTTTAAAGTCCTTCCCAGTCCTAAAAGTGGATGCTGGTACCCAAAGTATAAGGCTGTAGCTCTCACCCAGCTCCTCCCCTGCAAGGCTCTGTTCAGCTTTACCTCCTCCCTGGAGCTTCCCAATCCAGCAGCCTACCTAGAAGTCATTCCTCCACTCTGCTCCCAGATCATGTCCTACACCCATGCACTGCAGCGTTTACTACTCAGTCCTCTAGCCACCTCCACACATTTCTCTCTCCTCTAGAACAGGAGCTCCTTGAGGCAGAAATTATGTCTTGGTATTTCATCCCCAAAATATCTATTATGATATTCAGTGTCTGACGAAGCAGGCGCTTGATGAATGTCTGCTGAATAAATAAACCCCTGCTTCTGCAGCCTTTTTTCAATGAACGGGGAGACAAAAGGCAGTGGAAGAAGACCATTGCCAGAAATATATTTGCTACAATTCAGTACCTCTCAGCATGTGAGCTGGATGACAGAACATTCACCTTTCCGAGCTCAGCTTCAAGCACTAAGTTCAATGTGAACCCATGAACCCCTTTTAGAGAGGCCATACCATACAAAGCATCTGGAAAAGCAGATTTTTTTCTTGAAGAAACTTACCAGGATCTACAACAGACCAATCATACCAGCACAAGGCCAATTACAAAGGCACTTTTGACTTCTGCAATATAGACCAGAGCTAGGTAAATATCCAAGAACAGTCCCTCTATGTCCTTTTAATGGCAGAATGTAATGCCGGAAAATACCAGGCTCGAATGGAGAGGTGAAAGCCCAAATGGAAGTCTCACTTTTGTCACAAATGGCATGTGAATTTCAAAGTGCTAAAAATGATACACATGTAAGGGGGTACTATTACACTAAGGAAAAAAAAAAAAATAAGGAAGGTCCTCTGCAAATTCAGAGGTTGCCCCTTCTGAAATATGAGCTTACTCAATTACATTCTTCATGTTATTTTGGACCTTGGACCCAGTACCCGATAGGCAGAATCTTGAAGCCACATAGGAAATGGTATTCTCTTAACTGGAATAAATCTGTCAACAGAAGGCACAGGCTAGCTGCACTAAATGCCCTCTGCAGGTTCTTATTAAAAATATAAATTAAAGTCCAGCATAGTCCCTTTACTTCCCACATCTGTTTGCTATTCTATGTCCATTACTAATACTGTAATGCAGGGTCCCCATTGGGGCAAGATAAATTCCCTGTTCCCAAAACCTTCTGCTGACATGGCAATGGATCCACTTGAGAGGCTATTAAGGCAGACCCAGACATTGTTCCTTGACATGTGATCAGTGAGGAGACAGGCCTAGGCCTCTAAGCTTAACAGGAGAAGAGGAAATTGGGTTGGGCCTGTGATCAGAAAAGTGGTAAACTCCAGTGGTTAAGAGCTAAGATTTTGGACTCAGCCCTATTCAATCCCAGCTCTTATACAACCTAAATGTGTGACCTTAGGCAAGTCATTTAACTCCTCAAGGACTTCAGTTTCTCCATCTATATAAAAGAGTTAACAGGACAGCCCGATAAAATTATTGTTTTTTGTTGTTATGTGCTGTCGAGTCGGACCCAACTCATAGCGACCCCTCCTTGGGTTTCCGAGGCAGTATCACTACGGAAGTAGATTGCCCCATCTTTCCTTCCGAGGAGTGGCTGGTGGGTTTGAACGAACAGCCTTCTGGTTAGCAGTCAAATGCCTTAGGCACTATGCTACCAGAGCTCCCCTCGATAAGATTAGAAAGCATTATAACACCACAAATGGAAAATAGTAAAACAAAACAAAACCAAAAAAAGTGACTAGTATCATTTTCATCACCCTAGCATTTATCCTCATCTCCAAAATCACCCTGGTTTGCTGAGGCTGAACAGAAAAAAAATTACAAAAAAGATGGTATAAGATCCTGGATAGAGGGGGAAAACAATGTGGAACAACACTAAAAATCATAAAAAAGACCAGATTTACTGGTCTGATAGAGCCTGGTGAGACCCCCAAGACACCTTCAGGTCTGGAACTGGACTCACTCCTGTGGCTTCTAGCCAAACAGACAGGTATATGGGGTAAACATTTACAACAGGTAGACACATTCCTCAGAATGATCAATCACGGGCAATCAGAAGGGCAGTGATTGCACAAGGAGACAGCTCAGGGGGCAGGAGTGCATAGGAAAGAAGGACACAGGGAAAAGGTAACTACAGGGAGGAAGCGGGAAGAGAGCTGTTACACTGTGGGGATTGCAGTCAAGGTCATGAAACAAATGTATATGAACTGCCATATGGAAAATGAATTTGCTCTGTAAACTTTCACCCAAATCACAATAAAAATTAAATAAATAGATAGATAAAATAATTATTAACAACAACAAAAAAAGATGGTATGAACTTGGAAGGGATGTAGGAGATCCTGCATAAAGAGGGAGAGCAATGTGGTACAAAACTCAAAATCATTTGGAGGCAAAAAAAAAAGAAGGTGGGGACCAGGTTTGCTGGTCCAATAGAGCCTGGTGTAACCACTGA